GTAAACACTATGTTACCAGAGCTCCTTCCATATATATGCATATATAGCTTCTGAGATTTCTGAAGACATTTTTGTAAAATCTCTGTAATGATAAAAATGAAAAGTAAAGTACACATATGAGTATGCCTCCAATAAAAAGGGAAGAGAAAGTGCCACGAGTAAAGTATTAAACTACAGGTATATTTTTCTCAAATGTTTTCATTGAAATGGTGGCAAGATGAATGTAGAACAAGAAATAGGCATTTTGAGGAAAGAATTACTAAAATCTTAGTCTTCGTAGCATGCCAGAATCAGTGAAGGTTTTCAGTGTATCCATGAAACATTGGTCCAACTAATTTCACGCATTTGACATTGTTACTGAGGTTAAACATGTTCCATATGTTGCTGATAATTGAAAAAGAAAACAAATAATCAATTATTGTACTGTATTTCCTTTTCCAATAGAGGGAAAGAAAAATAAATTTGATGTGCACTTGTTATCAATCTGTACAGAATCCTTTGGTCACAAATGACCAAATATTTTGGAGACCTGCATAAATAGCAAAGAACTCATGCCTTTAAGAGGAAGCCCTAGTAAACTGTTTCTATAGTCTAAATGTAAGAATAAAATAGTCTTGATCTCATTTTTGATATTAAAGCCAATCTTGGTACAAAATACAAGGAATGAGGGCCTGGTGTGAACGATAGACAATGGGGCACACTCGGAGATTGGGTTTATGTTTGCCATCTCTGAAACGAAGCATTTTTAGCACACCTGTTTCAGGGAAACTTTCAAAGATTTATTTGTACTTCCAATCATTTTTCATTTTCATCCTTCAGTGGTGGAGGTCATTAAGTGCAGGCTGCCCTTGTCAGTGTCATGTAGGATCAATTTGCTGAAATGGACAGAAAGACCTTATTGATGCTGTTAAATCTGTCAGTGAGAAATCGTATGTCATTAGCGTCTAATGCACTGCTTACAGGATGGGATTTGGCTATCAAAAATGAGAAAACTCTTTAATATTTTAGTCCATTCCCTTGATATTACTGCATTTCCGTCATATGACCAAAGCTAGTCCTTTGGTCAGTTTTGTTTGGCATATTCAAAAGTATCATTCAATCTCTGGTATAATTGTCAAATCCTTTGTCAGATAAAAGAAATCACACTTGTAGTAATTTTGCATATCATTTTCCATATTTTACACTAATTTCATTACATCTAAGCCTGCATTCCTTTTGAAGTGGTGAATACTTACATTTTCATTATTGGGCTTCTTAGGGAATATTTTTCTTTTTGCACAAACTACACACTTTCATTTTCTGTATTTTTAGGCCAAGCTTATAAAAAGAAAGCCCAGCTGAAGAGTAAAACAAATTTAAAATTATGGCCCACTGTTAAACATTATTTTATATATAGAATGCTCAAATGTGACAATGTGCAGAACTTATCACCTGGTGATGAAATTTTGTGTACTTTATTTGCTGCACAAGTTCTGTGATGCTTTCCTGTACATTGTGTATATGGGCAGTGGATGCATGCCCTTTAAAATCAGAGACACACAGCAATTCTGCAAAATTTGTATTTGCCCTTGTTCATGGGTAAGCAAGCAAATAGAATCCAATATAAAATCTTTTAGACCTCAAAGTTAACACAATAAATGAATGAAGGGAAAAAAAGAATATGAAAACCAAGTTTTCCTTCTACATGAGAGAGGCATTTTCATAAAGCTTTTGAATGGTTATTTTATATTTCCTCTTTAAATATCCATGAATTTGTTGATTAAATCACCATGCATTTGTTTTAAGTGCATCTCAAGTTCTTACTCCTCAGACCTGCAAAGAAAGGTGAGTTAATCAAGCATGCAAATTTTGATATGTTCTCTTGAGTGAAAACAAGATCTTTTACAAAGCTGCTTAAAATGAATATTAATTCTTTTTAAGCCACTTGTCAAGCTTAACCCTTGTCTATCCCAAGATCTATCATAGTGCTTTCAAATTATAGTTGTTATTGTTAAGTGTTGTCTAGTCTGTTTCAGCTATAGGAGTAACATGTGACAGAGTCGAGCTGCTCTTTCTAGAGTGTCATGTTTATGGGAACAGATAGATCACCAGATCTTTTCTCCTATGGAACTGCTGGGTGGGCTCAAATAACCATCCTTTCAGTTAGCAACTCCAAGCACTTAACTAATGTACCACCAGGGCTCCTTGCTTTCAAACAAAGTGAATAAAAATCATTACAGTGTCAGCCAGGACTTATCAAACACTTATGTGGACCTGGCATCTGAAGTATGCAATTTGGAAACGTTATTTTTTTAAATACCTCTCATTACTCCCAGGAGATTCTTTATTATTATCATGATTATATCCAATAGATGATATGGAATCTAAAAATATGTATGTCATGAGGTCTCCTAGGGGAAAAGAGAGACTGATAGAGATCCAACACAGGTTTTTCAAACTTTCAATCCGTTTCATAACCATAACACCATGCCGTGGAGTCGGTTCCGACTCATAGCGACCCTGTACAGTTTCCGAGGCT